GAGTGTTATTTCATGGTGTGTGACAGCAGTGCCAACCACTGCCCTCAGTTTAGTTATTTAGCATTAAATGATGCAATATGGACCTTCTCCAAAGCTATTGTTTTCACAGAGGGGAAAGATACTGTCTCACAACATGCTTGTCACGCTGGGTTTTAAGAATATATTTTGGTTTTCTACATTTTCTTAGCTGAAATGGCATTTTGCCTTTAGAAGTGGGAATAATGTTTTTGAAAAACAGTTTAGATTTGAAAGCACAAATCCTCTTTCAACATCTAAGCAAAAAAATTCCAGTACTCTCCATTCTTTGTAATATTGTTTTGCTAACAGGAGTTTCTCGTTGAAGGGCTCTCTGTTTTTGTATCTTCATGGAGGAAAATGTAACTACTGTAAGCATTACAAGAAAGTTGTGTTTCTGTTTTGATTATTTCACTGGTTAACTTGCAGAGCCAGGATGAGATGAGCAGTCCCTGAAGATATGCTCATCAACAGTGAAGATTCCTTAATTTTTTTCAGTTAGCATCTCCTGGGTCTCTGAGGGTGCAGCAGTTGTTTAGTTTCTGCATCTTTTAAAGCTGGTTTTGGATTTCAGAATTGCTGTCCCAAATGCAGAATTGCAAAATAATCCAGATGTTTTATTTAATGGGTGTGTGTTTCTGGATTATTCAGCTCTGTCTTCTTGTGCCACCGAGTTTACTTTGCTTCAGTTTATTTGTGATTCAGAGGATTGTGTTTAAAGCCTGGTGGGGTTTTGTCACTAAGTCTTCATTTATCTGTTGATCACAAAAGGTTCTCCCTTGCCTTTGTGCTGTGTGTGGGAGGCATGCAGAAAGTGGCTGAGTTGAGAGGAGTGAGGGTGAGATGAGCAGGGAAGATACTCGTGGCAGGTAGACTGTGTGAACAGGGAAGAGATCCAGGACTGGGCAATGGGATTTGTTGGAATTCCAGAGAAATGAGGCCATAGACTGGGAAATTCTTGATATTGTTTTCAAAGCTCTCTGCTGCTGGGTCATGCTCCCTAAGGATCTGGGTATGAAAATAATCCTGGTTCACAAAGAGATGTTTGCACAGCTCTGATGCCATCTTGTCTAAGCAGGAGAAGAGTCTTGCTGAGTAACATATGGTTTGGTTTGCAGGCCTGGATTCCCCTACACTATTTAGTCTGAGCTACTACAGGATTTTATCGTTCTCCACATGCAGGCATTTTTTTTCCCTGCCAAAATGCAGTTCTTTTCACATTCATAGCAAGGGTCATGGTGAAGTCAGGAATTAGCAGTTCCCTCCTGCTACAACCTTCAGCCTCACCAGGATCTGGTACTTGGTTTTTAGGTTTTGATGGAGAAATCCAGCAAGCAGCAACTCTTCCTTACATAAAAATAGAGAGCTGCAATGTTCTGTTGGTATAGCCATGGCCTGCATGGAGGTACCAGCTTGTGAGGGAGGGGAAGAAGCTTCTGTAAGATTGAACATCACAGGTTGATTTGCAGTACAGTCTTTGACAGGTTCAGTGAGCCAAAAGGTAAAGAGTAGCCTTCAATAGGATATCCATCTATTTTGTAGAACTTACTGTTCTTTTAACACATAAATTACAGTTGAAACCAATAAGAAGACAGTCCCATCTCCTGTGACTTGCCTAGGCAAAGGCAAGTGCAAGTGTTGTCATCACTAGGGCATTTTATTAGGGCTATCACAGTCAATCTGTCAAATTTGGATCCCCTCAAATTGGTTGTGTATATGTGTGTTCAATAGGGAGCAATGATTTCTTTATGCCTAATATTTCAAATACATTCCCATTAATTGTCAATTGTTCTTGTGTATTTGTGAAGAACAAAGATCAATTGGTTTAAAGTAAGACTTGAGATCACCTAGAAAAATAGCCAATTCAAAGTGAGGATGGCAGTTGAAACCTGAAAAAAAGAAAAGTATTCTGGAAAAAGGAAAATAGCTTAGCGTTTCACTTAATAGTGAATTGTAAAAGTATCGTTTATTTTAAGGAATAGACTATGAAACACACAGATTAATCATATTAGGGTAGGGTTGGAATGGACCTTACAGATCATCTAGCCCCAACCCCCTGCCCTGGGCAGGGACACCTCCTCACTAGATCAGGATGTTCAAGGCTCATCCAGCCTGGCCTTGAACACTGCCAGGGTTGGGGCAGCCACAGCCTCCCTGGGCAACCTGGGCCAGTGTCTCACCACCCTTAAACTAAACAGTTTTTTTCTCACATCTAACCTAAACTTTCCCTCGTTCAGTTTGAACCCATTACCCCTTGTCATTTCACTGCAGTTCTTAACACAGAGTCCCTCTCCAGCTCCTTGTAGGCCCTTCAGATATTGAAAAGTTACTCTTGAGTTCTCCAGACTGAACAACCCTAGCTTCCTCAGCCTGTCCTCTTATCAACTTCATGGCCTCCTCTGGACTTGCTCCACGAAGTTGATAAGAAGACTGGAGCTTCTCCTCTATGAAGGCAGGTTGGTAGGACATTGTTGAAAGGAATTTACTTTAATACCTTTTTTTTCTTTATCTTTGGATTTCTCTAAATGGAAACCATTGTCTTGCCTAGTGGTTGTCATTTGTTACCATTTTGTGCAGAAGTGTTCCAAAAGGAGTGCTCTTCACAAAGGGTGGTGCGTGTGTTTTGAATGTCAGCAATTAACATTTGGATTATTCAGTTTCATATAATGCATTTAACCTTGTATTTTCCTAGGTCACTCAGGTGGACTGTTTCTATCAGCAGCTAACAGCATTATTTACTAATTATGCATATACATATATGCATATGACTTCAAATTAACTTTTATAGCAGAGCCTTCAAAATGACTGACAATTATAGGAACTCACTGCGTGGCTGCTAAAATACCACAGCATGAGTGCCAGAACTGACAGATATAGGCTTCAGGACATGGTATGAATTATCAGTGGAGGAAAACACCCTTCATAATCAATTACAGACAATTACACACTGTTCTGCAGCTGATTTTGCCACATGTCACTTAAAGATTCCAGCAAAGATTTGTTTGTTTTAAATGCTCCACTGCTTAGAAATGCTTGTAAAGCATTAGCTGAGAGCTGATTAAACACAGTGTGTTGGCCAAAGGGAAAATAAGTTGTTAAAATGGGGATAGAATCATACATTGGTGTGTGAGTTTTGGACACAACAGGGTTTTCTCCTCCTCAGCTGCAGATATGGAGCTAAAGATCTGTCTGAGGTTGGTACTGGTTTTAGTTCTGGCCTCCTAAAAGCAGAAAGGGAGCACAAGGAATATTTTCTGACGGAGTTCTGCCTTCCTGTTTAGGTTAACATATGCCATAATAGTCCTTTCAGTGTTCTGCCCCGGTCAGGCTGACTTCTGCCTTGCTTGCTTTAATTAAGCACTCAAAATCCCTCGTTAGTGTAGCGTCATCACTTAAAACAGGTATCATCAACACACTGAGTGGACATTGAAGATGTCTAATTCACCCACATCAGATGAACCTGCATGGTAAGGGGTTGTAGAGCAGTGCTCTAAGTAGCAGGCTGGAAAAAGGTTTTCTATATGCTGTTACTTATATGTATACATGTAGACTCAAGTTGACCATGTCTACTGATCTTGAAGTAGGTAGGATTTTCCTCAGTGTTTTATAGTGTGTTCTAAGGCAGTGAAAAAAGATGCTTAAGGGATGAGATCAAAGGTTAATTCTTTATTATTGCAGAAAAGGTGAAAGGCCATTCTGAAATAGAAAAGCTCCTCCAAGCACAGGCCAGACAGGGTTGGCTTCATCTTTTCTGGAGCAGATTTTTATAGCCCTTGAGCTCCTGTAACTCCTTGTACTGCTCCAGTTAATCAATCAGAAGAATATTCCCTGGGAGTACAATCCATTTTTCATCTCCCAGACGCAGAGTATTTCCTCTGGATTTCTCATCATTCCTATCCATGTTAATGCACTTTGGTTACCTACAGCATCTCTGGCCCGTCATCCAGTTCTGCTGTGAAGTAAACGTGCAATAGTGTTAAAAGGGAAACTGGCAGAGTCTTTAATCTGTTTTTTTCCTATACATTATTGCTATTTAACCTCTTTGTTTAAAATGCATCACCAGAGTATTTCAGTTTATTGCAGGTTTACATGTATAGGCTTTAACCATGCTAAGACTGTTGAATGGTGAGTGTAAGAGCTAGTGAAAAGTTGAAACTCTGTAAGAGATCTGAACAGTGTTGTTATTGTATTAATGGGAAAAAAAAAGGGCTCCAGAATATTTTGGATATTTTTGATACTTAAGGTGTATCATCTAAATTTTGTAGCTTCGGTTCCATGCCTTCCTGATATCCCTTGAAAACAACTGCTATAATGGCAAAGACAGGCATGAAAGTATAGGAGCTCTTATCCACGTTGCCTGCAGAATCTTTAATTAACAATGTTGTTAATTGAAAACTGAAGTATCGCCCAAATATAGGTGATTCTGCCCCTGTACTTGGCACTGGTGAGGCCACACCTTAAATACTGTGTGCAGTTCTGGGCCTCTCAGTTCAGGAAGGATATTGAGGTGCTGGAGCAGGTCCAGAGAAGAGCAACGAGGCTGGTGAAGGGACTGGAGCACAAGTGCCATGAGCAGAGGCTGAGGGAGCTGGGGGTGTTCAGCCTGGAGAAGAGGAGGCTCAGGGGAGACCTTATCACCCTCTGCAACTCCCTGACAGGAGGTTGGAGTCAGGTGGGGGTTGGTCTCTTCTCCCAGGCAACCAGCAGCAGGACAAGAGGGCACAGACTCAAGCTCTGCCAGGGGAGGGGTAGGTTGGATATTAGGAAGAGTTTTTTTTACAGAGAGAGTGATCAGGCATTGGAATGTGCTGCCCAGGGAGGTGGTGGATTCACCATCCCTGGAGGGTTTCAAGCTGAGACTGGATGTGGCACTGAGTGTCATGGTTTAGTAACAATGGTAGTGTTGGACTCTATCTTGGAGGTCTCTTCCAACCCAGTTGATTCGATGATTCTATGATTGTTGTTATAGCTTCTTGATGCTTTCAATATTGAATGCTTGGAAAATATAGAATAAAAGAATCATACAGGTTGGAAAAGAACTGTAAGATCATCGAGTCCAAATGTAAACCCTGCCAAGCCCAACATCTCCCCAGGTGCCATATCTACATGTCTTTAAAATCTGTCTGGGACTGGTGGCTCCACCACTGCCCTGGGCAGCCTGTTCTAATGCTTTACAGCCCCTCCATTCAAGGAGGTGTTCCTAACATCCAATCTAAACCTCCCATAGAGACAATTTTCTCCTGCCCTATTGCTTGTTCCTTGGGAGAAGAGTCTGACCCCAACCTGGCTGTGTGCTGATTTGGGAAAAAGACATGGTGACATGGACAGCCAGGAGTGGAAGAAGAAAACTTACAGATCACATCTGCTCATGGTATGAGCTGCCCACTTAGATGTCTAAGGGTAGTGATATAAATACTGTCAGTTGATTAAAAATATATTCATTTGATAAACAAAAATATATTCTGAGTGAATATACTTAAAGCTTACATGGTTTTTGACCTATGGGACAGACTTACAGCCTTGGCAGCAAGTAGAGTCAGTATTGTGCTTACAAGGGAGGGTAAATGTGAGAACAGTGCCCTGGAAACAAGATTGCAGATCCAACCACTTCCTGAGCTGGCTTGGTGTCAGGTACTGGTGGTTTTCAGCTTTTGGGTCCAGATTACATCTCTACCTTTTTTTTTCCTTTTTGCATCTTGCATTGCAACAACAGGTGTCAGCTGACTCGAGCTCCTCCATGAACTCCAACACACCTCTGGTGAGGATAACGACTCGTCTCTCCTCTACTGCCGATGCTCCCATGCTTGCAGGAGTCTCGGAATATGAATTGCCAGAAGACCCAAAGTGGGAGTTTCCAAGAGATAAGTATGTAGTCTGTTTCCTTTGACACTACCTCTGCATGTCCAAAAAACCTGTCACAGTATGAGAGGAAGCATCTTTCTTAATGTCTCCCAGGGTTTCTTCAGTTTAAAGGAAAATCTAAATTACCTGAAGCTCCTCTGAAGATCAAGAGACAATTCAATTATCTGAAATCGGTTTGGTTAAATAGAAACTTAAATTTTCTCTGCCTGTCGGTTCTGATTATATTTTCAGATTTCTTGTAGGTTTTCAGATACTCTGCTGAAATGTAAGTTCTCTGTTAGGAAAAGAGTGACTATTTCAAATTAGGTATGATCTAGACTGAGAAAAATATCCACATATAAGCATTGTTGAAGGGTAGTTCCCAAACAATGCCTCTAAATATTAAACCATGTTTCTTAGTTGATGATTTAATTGGTTAACATTTAAAATACAGATAATACAATATCATGGAGGAGATAAAGTCTAAATTATGCTATTAGACAATCTTTTCTTTCTGTCAGGACTTGGGTTAGGATTTGGTGTTGATTTTGTATTAACCTGTATTAATGGAGATGATGATTTTTGATTTAGGAGAACACTTTACATGTTGCATGTACAACTTCTGTGGCTTAAAAGTATTAGGTTTCAAGCAGAGCATAGTGAATTTTGATATATTCAAATTCACATGGCTACATAATATTCAAAGTCTGTTGACTAACATGCAAAATGAACTTTTGAATAATCTAATTTAAACTGTAACCATATTTCTTAATGCAAAAAAGACATGCAAAAGAGAGATAATATTAACACAGGTAGGACCATGATTCCATGTCAGAGTTAATACTAACTTCAGGAAGTCTTTATGTGGCTTTCAGAGAATAACAACTATTATCATGGACAGTTCCCTTTGAAAGTTCAAGGCTGTAACTTTTGGATAGATGAGTTGTAATTTTGAACCTTCTGACAACTGTTCTGGAAATTGTTTTATTGATGTAGCTGAAAAATAGTGTAAAATGCTGTAATTGCCACCTGCAGCATTCTAGTCAACAGTGGGGGTCTGTATATGTGCTTCTGTCAGCTCATACCCTGGGGAGATACACTAAATGCAGAAAATTTTAGAGTTGCTAAACATTTAAACCCAGTGTTGTGCACAAATGTAGGTGGAGCAGATCTGCAATGAAAGGAGGCTATTTAGAGGCAGTTTATTAGGTTGGGGGGCAGGAGGCACACAATGAGGGGTTTGTTACTTTGGTCCTAGCAGGGCAATAGCACATAAATTAACCAGTTTCCAATGCAAATGTTTGTTCTCTGCCAAGATCCTAAATTCAATTTTAGTTCTGGAGTAAATGCAGGATGACCTCAGCATAACACACGCTGCCCTTCAGTCTTTGCACCTTTTTAAACTCGCCTTTGCTTTAGAAACCAATCCAAAACAGCTCGAGGAACTCTCACCAAGGCAAAGCCCACGTTTGACAGAGTGTGCTGGTTGCCCTCAGAGGAGACACCTCTCACTTCTGTCCTCTGCCTGAGCAGATGAGTGAGGTTTTCAGACCTCTTAGCTCTGGTCTAACACTCTTCAGCTGATGGTATGACAACCTCTCTCTATTTCATGGGGGAAGACAAGTCTATGCTTTGAAGAATGGGTGCCTACCTATATCATAGCTGTGAATCCAGATTTGACCATGGAAAGCCAAGTCCTTAGGAACTCAGTTATGAAAATGCTTATCTGAATCTAGCCCCTACACTGGATGACTTTAGCAGCATCACACGTGCTGAGCACTGTCCCCAGTTCCTGCCATGACACTGCTGCTGGATGCAGATGGTATTGTCTGCAAGTAGTCTGAATCTGGGTTTTAACCACTTAGGCTGGCACCAAAAAGATTTTGCCCAGAGGCTTTGAAGTTTCTTTTTTATTTAATCTCTTTTTTTCTAAAGTTGAGATTGACATCTCTGTGTCTGTCTGTTAGAGCTGAGCAAGTTTTGCAACCAGGTATATACTCCACAAAAGGCATTCTGGAGACCCCACTTAATGACTGCTTCTTTTGAAAGGGTTTTACATTGGTGCTGTGAGTTTGTTTCTCCCAGTCACTGCTTCCCCTCTGAGCTGAGCCTGAGTGCTGCAGGCAGGAGGCATCTCATGAGTATGCAGCCAAGAAACAAACTCTGTGCTAGACCCAGTTGTGAGTGAATGAAGTGTCCTGTCTTGCCCCTTAAAGGATCAAAGTGCTGGGGAATGTGGGTGAGGAGGCCATGAAGAAGATGGATTGGAGGGGCCACTTGGATCTGCTAAGAGTCCTGTCCCATGGAGGTGCTGTCTTTATGCAGCTGCTTGTGCAGCTGGGCAGGGAGAGCATCACCTTGGCAGGCATAGCACTGGGATGTGTGTCAGGAGAGCAGAGCCAGTGGCTGTGGCAGATCTTGGCAGCTCTTCAGGGCATGTGAGCAGCACGGGTACCTTTGCCTGGGCTCTCCCAGTGGTTGCTTCTCCTGAGCCACATGCTTGTCACCAGCCTCTTTTCCCTTCCCTTTGTTTCTCTTTCATCCTGCCTCCACTCTCCCAGTGGAGTCGCAGCTGTTTGACCATCCCATCAGCCACTCAAAAGAGAAATGTGTTCAATAATTACCCGTGTCTGCACCCAAGCATCATGTCAACTGACTTGCTGTCTCTGTCCTGTGGTGCAAGAGATCATTAGGCAAGCAAAAAGCAGGAATATGAATTTAGAGCTAAAATACAGCTGCCTGACAGCGTGTTTGATTTCCCTTTCTGTTTGTGCTATGCCATTATACCACAGGAGTAAATAATATTTAAAACATCCCTTTGCTCTTAATACTACCCCTTACCACACCAGTAATCAGCTGGCTGAGAGCAACCACATGGCAACACACACAAAGGGACTTTTCTTTCATCTTTTCTTCATCTCCTTGCAGTCATTATGAGCATGAAGATGACTGTCCACATTGCAGTGGCAGGAAGAGCTGGCCCGCTGCTGGCTGTTCCTGAATTCCAGCCATGGTCTGATGTTTTTGAAAGCTCTGCCCCTCCATTGTGTCTCCTCATAAGGCATCAAGTGCAGCCTCTTATTACAAGGAGTGGGAGAGCTTAAAAGCTTGGTTTAGTGTCTGATCTGCCTTTCTGAGATGCTCTCTATACCATCTTTAAGCAAACACACGGCAGTGTGTGTGTCAACCAATGCTCACCCAGAGTCTTATTAGTTCCATATGATAAGTGCTTCATGCTACAGCAAGTTGTTGAAAGCTTTTTATGTTTAGACCTGGAATTTCATTGGCTGCACCCCTTCACCAGATGCTGTATGTTAATCTGCTGTTTGCACCTCTAGGCTGACACTGGGTAAACCCCTGGGAGAAGGTTGCTTTGGGCAAGTTGTCATGGCTGAAGCAGTGGGGATTGACAAAGACAGGCCAAAAGAAGCAGTGACCGTGGCAGTGAAGATGTTGAAAGGTAAGAAAAGTGGGTGATTAGGGATCAGAATGGGCGATATGGCAGTTCTCATCCACAAAAAAGTTTCTTTTGTGGCATCTGAACTCTGTCATCATTGTGGGGAGGGTCAAAGAGCACATAGCTGACCTCAGCCTTCAGCAGTTTGGGGTGTAAATCTGCGCCCTTGACAGCCTGTTTATCTTGAGCAGTGAGTATTTAGGAGCCAGGAGATGTATTAGCATCGTGTGGGTCTCTCTGCTTTTGGTTTACTTCATGTCAGAGGCTGTCCATGTGTAGATCATACCCCATTCAGTCCAGGTGGTTGGTGCCTATTTACTTTGAGTTTAATTGTAAGGTTAGTTTGCAGGAAAGGCATAGTTATTGGAGGTTTGATAGCTAAGGACAGCTTTTTTATGTCTGATATTGCTGTGCTGCCTCTTAACATAAAACACTGAAGAGCTGCTCAGTCCATCAAAGGGGTTGAGACTATTTTTGTTAAGATATAATGTATGACTTTGTATAAACATACAGTGTATACTGGGAAACAAATCCTGTATCTGCATTTTGAGTCACACATATTTTACACCAACTGGTGAGCCTTCATAGAATCATAGAATTTAAGGGTAGGAATGGACGTTACAGATCATCCAGCCCCAACCCCTGCCCTGGGCAGGGACACCTCCCACCAGAGCAGGTTGCTCAAGGCTCATCCAGCCTGGCCTTGAACACCACTAGGGTCAGGGCAGCCACCACATCCCTGGGTAACCTGTGCCAGTGTCTCACCACCCTCACAGGAAAAATCTTTTTCTCACATCCAACCTAGACTATCCCTCCTTCAGTTTTAACCCTTTAGCCTTAGTGAAGTTCATGCTGGCGTGCTAGAAAACATGAACTGAACCCATGTCTTCTACAGATGATGCTACAGAAAAAGATCTGTCTGACCTGGTGTCAGAGATGGAGATGATGAAGATGATTGGGAAGCATAAAAATATCATCAATCTCCTTGGAGCCTGTACTCAGGATGGTGAGTAGAGAAAAGAAAGTAAACCAGAGCTTTCCAACAGGCTTGCAAAAGTCTCATTAGTCATAATTTTTCAAGAGGTTTTAAGGAAGGAGTCATGTCGTGATGGGATTTTTAGATATTTACCTAGCTTAGCAGCAATATTTTAACTCCTGTGTCTCATTAGAGTTGCAGCTTTAATATGAGAAAAGGTACTATATCATATAAAAACTCTCTAATCCCTTGCTGTAGGGAACAAATGACATTTTGCAGTGGCTTTACCCGTATCTGTTATTCTGAATTTTCAGTTCTGCTTTAGGAGAACTTCTATCTCATGAATTTGAAATGAGCACTTTTACCCCTGAAAGTTAATTATGTCACATAAAGTGATGCAGGAGGGCATAAAAGTCTAGAAATTAAAGAATTTTAAGAAGCACTTTCCCCTTGTTTGAGGTCTCATGGTATATTTTTGTTTGAAAATGTTTGCTTTGCAGTCTATGGTGTGACCTAGATGGAATAGGCACTGAGTCAGGGTTTAGATACTTTAAGCCACTAATTGTAGTTCTGCCACTCTCCTGCTGTGGAGCTTTGGACCAGTCACTTTGCCAGGTCTGAACCTCCTTTTCTTCCAAGTGTGCTTACTGATTTCCCGCTTCGGCATTTATTGACTCTGTTAATTTATTATAGAAGGCTGAAAGCTTCTTTCCATGAAAACACTTTTCCCTTGGACTTTACTCCATTTTCCACATGGTTCTGTTTATCCCAAGGTCCGTTGTACGTGATAGTGGAATATGCTTCCAAAGGGAACCTGCGCGAGTACCTGCGAGCGCGTCGCCCCCCGGGCATGGAGTACTCCTTCGATATCAACAGGGTGCCAGAGGAGCAGATGACCTTCAAGGACCTCGTGTCATGCACATACCAGTTGGCAAGAGGCATGGAGTACCTGGCTTCACAAAAAGTAGGTACAACTCAGCAAACACTGCACAAAGCACATGATGCGTATTTCTTAGGAACTTCTCTAGTTGAATTTTGTTCTTGTTTGCGTTCAAGAATTTGCTGGGAGAAGGAGCTTTCTCAAACAAGTTGCACAATCCATACTCTTGGAGATGAGTGGGAAAATTCATGCACTTAAAGTTTTTCATCTTTGTTTAACAATATTGCTAAAATGAGGCCCAGAATGGATCATTTAAAGTAAATATTGCATACATATCTGCAGTCTGAATTCATAAGCACAGGTGGTCACTTGATTACACAAGTCACATTACTCCACCCATGAGACAGCAGGCTCCATTTGCCTTCTGTTTCCAGTCAAATCAACCAAATCCATTCACGTAGTGATGTAAACCAAATGAGTTCAGTTACTGAAAGGATTTGCAGAATAACAACAGTCAGAGTTGAGAAGACCCAAGACACCAGGGCAAAAACAGTGAACAGAAAAGCAAAAATAAATGGGGTGTATTAGTCACTTAAATTTTGCACTTTACTTAAAACTAGTGTTTGTCAGGAGAGCAAACTTGTTGAAAGAATTTATTCATCCTGTCATGTCCCCAGACACTTATTTCTTAAACTTGTCTTCAAACATTTTTATTTAACCTGTAATTTGATTAAATTATAGTTCTGAAATTTTAAATAACCCCGTAAACGTACTGTGGCTTGGTGGACAAGCAATCATGAATACCCTGAGTGGTGTTTGGACCCAATGGCTAAATGAGAGCAGCAGATAGTGATGATAAGTACTTCCTGCAGGGTGTGGAGTGGTTAGTGGGATTTATACCGATTTCCAGTCACATCCACTCCCAAGTATGGAGCTGTTTTCAACCAAAGACCAGGGCTGAATATAATCCTCCATTCCTGTTGCTTGAAGTCATTATGTTGTTATAGTTTTTTCTGCTTTTTTAGAGGTTGAGGGAGAGGGGAAATCTAGGCTTAATTTTGCTTTTATTCTTTTGTTTTGAAACAGTAAATCTTAGCATAGTAGGGTTGACAGGGCAATGTGCATAACACTGAGGCAAAATTCTTGTAATGGAGTAAGCATGAGTATTGATTAGGTAACGAGCATCAGGATATCTCTTTCTAAGATTAAAGAAGCTCTTGCCTGGCAACGCGCCATGTCCCAAGAAAATAGAACTGATGTGAAAGGAGAAAATAAATCTTTTGACTGGCACATCTTGAGAACAAGCATCTTCCTGAGAAACTGAAGTGCTGTTGTAGGGCACTGCCAAGAAGGTGTGTGCTCACATAGATGTGCAGGCAGAACCACTGCATCCTTTGCAAAAACAATTGGTCAGTGCTGCATTGAACTTGACAGAATGTGAGGCATTGCACAAGGCACAGGGAAAGCAAAGGCAGCACATAGTAGAACTGTGCAGTCTGGTGCTTCAGATATCCTACCATTTGTGTTTGTATTTCACTAGTTCTTTTCCCCTTAGGGATCCATTTACTGAGCTGGAATAATAAGAGAGCTGGTCTTCTCACGGTATTTCCATCATGCAGGAGCTGTGAGAAGGCCAGTGTTCTTGTTATTTCGATCCAATAAATGGCTCACTGAGACTTCAAAAAAACAAAAAAGAAAAACCAGAAAAGGTGATGTTTGCATGCCTACTTTTTGCCTTACAAAAGGTTTTAGCCTTACAATTGTCCTTAGAAGCAATAACCGATTTCCAAACTTTTAGAAGTAAGGTTGTCCATGTTGTTTCTGCTACCATAGTATTGATGATGCTGAATTAGAGGACTAATTGTATGCTGAAATCATGTACTCTTGTCTGGACCTGTGCACATGGAGGCATTGCTGGAGCAGGATTTTCCTGGCAGTTCCCCATGACTAACCCAGTGAAGAGCAGGAACATCATAGGTTCATTTTACTCATGTTCAATAAGGGGTCTCAGCAGGTTGCTGGGGCAAACTAAAACGCAAGAAAGAAATTGACTGTTGTATAGTTATTTGTAGTGGATTGGTCCAGCATGTCTAGGCACATGCTGAAATGAAGAGTACAATGTAAAGAGTAACCCAGAATTGAGGAGGGGGGAGGAAAAGATATATTTAGCTTGAAAATAAGCAGAATATCCTGGTGGGATTCCAAATGCAATGTTTCTTACCATGGCCCCACTGCCACCTTGTATCAACCCTAATAAGGCTACTTAAACACAGGAATCATATCTAGAGCAGTCCCAGTGTCCTTTCAGTGTGAGGATAATGCTGACATGAAGGAAACATCTCTCAGGAGATAACATGTTTAGTTTCAGTATCAAAGCTGTCTTAAAAGCAAACAGCCAAACCCAGATTGTTTTGGGCTCTTTTCCTTTCCTTTTTGTAATTAAATTGACACAGTCTCGTGCTTGAAGTAAATATACACACCAGTACAGACATCTAGTTTACAATTATGTCAATATCTTCAATATTAAAACCAGTTGCACTGATTCAGACCATCAGGTTTTAGTTCTGGTGAGACAATATCATTGAAGAGAAGCAACACAGTAAAATGTTCATGAACAGTGTTTGTAATGAAAGAGCTGCAGTACCTGTACCTGGGCACATGTAACAGAGAGTGAGTCACAACCCCTTGGCACCGTTTGGGTCACCACCTAAGCTTTCAGCCTTAGCAAAAATATGTCTAAAGCAGACCAGGTTTTTCTAAGAGACTCCTTAGAGCCATTGTTCAACACCAGCCAAGGAGTTGGATTGCAATAATTAAGAAAATCATATTTCACAGGCTTGTAGTAAATGTGTGGCTTTCCCACCTTGTCACTGAGGCTAAAATCTGTAAAGGAGACTCAGTTATGGTGTTGAAGTACTTTACCTTTTACAGCATCTTATTTCAGTGGGCCGTTTTTTTCTTCTTTCTTTTCTTTCCAGTGTATCCATCGAGACTTGGCAGCAAGAAATGTTTTGGTAACTGAAAATAATGTCATGAAAATAGCAGACTTTGGTTTAGCCAGAGACATCAACAATATAGATTATTATAAAAAGACTACTAATGTAAGTGGATTGTTTTTCTAATCTCTGGAAACAAGTGTTTCTCTCAATGTTGAATTTCAAAACTATGATTGTAAACTTAATGGGCTTCTTGTACAGCAGCCTCACTTTTCATTGAGACAGAAAACAGGGATCAAGGATATAAGCATTTCTGTCGCCTCTTGCAGTGACAGTTAGTTAAAAAGATAAGCAAAGAGAGTGTGTATTGTAGGGTTAGAAGTGCTAAAATACAAGAACTTCTTTTTTTCTGTGTCCCTGACTCCAATCACTTGAACTAAGTGGAATTATTCCTGTTGATTCCAGCTGATTTAGTAGCCAGCCTAGGATCTTGAAAAACACTGTGCAAACAGTGCTAGCAATACTCATTCAAAAAAAATCCTGTTTGTATGTGGAGATACTTTATGCCTTTGCCTGTATTTAGCTTATTATATGCAGCCTGTGGTGGTATCAAAGTCAGGCCAGAGGTTGAGAAAATTGATTTGTACTGTCACTGTTTTGCTGTTCAACCTGTACCAAATCAAGAAGATCACATATTTTGGATGTAGCATTGATGCCCAGTTTGAACTCCCCTCACTGGATCTCTTAAGATCCTGCTGAGCTACACTCAGGTTTTGATGGAAACTCTGCAGAACTCATGGAGTTTTACAGACTTTAATATGTATAAATATGACTTATTATTAACAATCATGCTAGTGATTTTCATAGATAAGCCACTTAAGTGATTAATGGCATTTTAATCATAATATATGCTACTTCCAAAAGCCAGAACAGCCAGGAATGGTGGGAATTGAGCCCTCTTCATATCAGGCTTTGTACAATTCCTGGGCTCAGGGCAGACTGTGTGTGCAAAGCAGACTGTGAGCTTTGGGTCACTGCAAAAGGAACAGGAAAGCAAAAGTCTTTGGTTTGGTGATCAGCCTATTTTTGCAGGAAGGTCTGTTTTTCATAGGTTTATTAATTGTGGGGGGTTTGTCTTTTTAGACCCATGGTGGAATGACCTTTTTTAATTACGATCTGCTTATCCTCTCATTTTCCTAGCAAGCAGTCTGGGAACTTTTTTAAGTGCTCTTAATACTTTTAATTTTATCTTCAATGTTTACATCCATCTTTCTTAGCAGTCTCCCTCCTTTAGCCCATTTTACTATTTTTTTGCACTGAAAATTGTGTGCTGGTTTGCCTTAGCGGACTGCTCTCTGAGAATTGATTAATCTTTGAAAGAAATTGCTGCTGAAATCTTCCTGTAAATTGCTGCCATTTTAATTTTCCTTCCCTCCAAACTCACAGGGACGACTTCCAGTAAAGTGGATGGCTCCAGAAGCTCTGTTTGACAGAGTTTACACTCACCAAAGTGATGTGTAAGTGGCCTGATTCAAATGGGGTTTTGAGTGGGTGGGAAGGAGAGTTGTTTTCTTTGTATTTGTTAAAGTTTTGGGTTATTTCAAATGTATTTTATTTTTCGTCCTTTACCTTTAAGAGTTTTCATTCTGTTTCACATATTAATAGATGGAACAGGACTTGCCCTTAGAAAGTGAGGATTTTCTGGTAGACTGCTAACCAGTGCTCTGTTACTAATCTGCCCAGCTTCAAAGCACATGAAAGGTGGAAAATGCTAACCTCCTTCTGTCACTGCGGAAGTTTCCCCCCTTGAACTTATTTACGGATGTGCAGCTACAAAGAGTCTATCTAATTTGCTTGGCTTTTGACATACTCTGGACTTCCTTCAGGTTAAAAAAAAAAGAAAGAAAGAGAGAGAAAAGAAAGAAAAACAGAGAAATTTGCTGAAAACTTCTTCTAAAAATCTGTGCTAAGATTAGGTATAGTAAAACATAGGCTGGGTGGACTGGAAAAGTTTTCTCTGGTTTTTAGAAGTGTTGTTGCTTCCCAGCAGTACTTCACATGTAGTAGGAAATCATTGGGCTCTGACACTTCAAAATCTTTTCATGTGTGCACAGAGTCACTGGCTGATGCAACTGCTTCCTCTTACAGTTCTGTGTACATGGTGCTTGAAGTAGACATGTATTTCAGATGAAGATCTTATGCTTTCTCTTTCTCCGACTGAAGCTGTTGATTGTAAGGGTCTGTGTGTTTCCCAGCACAGGTGTAAAAGGTTATTCATGTCAGTGCAGGGTTAAAAAGGCAAAGGGTAGGGTGGAGAAAATAAGAAGTATCTCCTCATTCTTTAACCTGTGTGCACTTTCCAAACTGCTCTCTCCTGAAGAAAACCATTTACTGAGGCGTTTCCTGCAATCTTTACATCATTTACAAAGGAAATGATATACTCAGGTTAAGGGTGGATCAAACTCATGGTTTAAAATAACATCTTGGCAAAATATTTAAGTAAATGCGAAGTAAACCACTTCACTTGTTTGGAAGTGAAAGTCAGTCTGAGCTCCTCAGCAACCAGCGAACATGAGGATTTCAGAGCTGGGACTTGGAGACTCTTGGCCCAGTGGTGGCTTTGAAGATAGCTAAAGATAATATTATTGTAAATTTGTGCAAACAGTTTACTAAAATACCCTGCTGCAGAGCTAGGAGATCTGCAGAGGTGCTCAGGAGCCAGTGCAAGCTGTGTGCTGTTGCTCACCTGGCAGAGCTGCCTGCCAGAGAGCCCTAGGTTGCCAGCAAGACACGATGAGGCAGGCTCTGGAGAAGGTGGCAAGCAGGCAGGAAAACTGGCTTAAAATTATCCACCTTCATTTCCTAGCAAAAGTTTAAAAAAAAATAATAGAAGAGCAGAATGATGCAAAATATTTTTGTTTTGCACAGTCTGCTTTTTCCAAAGCAAATCCCTCCTTGTAATTGGAGTCCAGCTGAGCTGTGAGTGTTCTGTAAGTCATTAAGCTGTGAAGATGCAGTTCTTTGCAGTAGCCCTGGAAACTTAGGTGCTCAGAGAACACCAGGAAAAGGAAAAGAGTGTGTTTGGGTACATGCTTGGGCCAATCTCCGTTTCATATGCTGTCCATGCACTTGATGCAATTCCAAGATTCCTGACCTGATCTAGGGGGTCAGACCTGGGCAGAAGCTGATTTAAGCATCTCCTAGGAGGAGCTGATATTCTCTCTTTTCAGCAGTCAGGCAGATCTAATGCAATTTTCTCTTTGCTTTGCAGTTGGTCATTTGGTGTGTTAATGTGGGAGATCTTCACGTTAGGAGGATCTCCCTACCCAGGAATCCCAGTGGAGGAACTTTTTAAGCTGCTTAAAGAAGGGCACCGAATGGATAAACCTGCCAACTGCACCAATGAACTGTAAGGACCCTGATTTGCTGTACCAGGATTGAGGGGCACAACTGCACTGAACTCACATGGTTAATGCTGCCCCTGGCAGAAACAAACATTTTTGGAAGCTCTTGATTCTAAAATGGTGGATGTATGTGTGGGTATAGATATGTAAAGAAAAGGTATGAAAAGCATTTCAGGAAGTGTTTGACAGAGGAAGCTTCTTTGCAGACCCTGCTGTGATCCTATTGGAAAAAGTAAAGGCCAGTGGCTTTTTGGTTGTGTATGAGAAATAGTGTGGCCAGCAGGACTAGGGAAGTGGTTGTCCCTCTGCACCTGGCACTCACACACCTCAAGTACTGTGTCTAGTTCTGGGCCCTTTGCTTCAGGAAGGACATTGAGGTGCTGGGGCATGGAGAAGGGTCTGTAACACAAGCCCTGTGAGGAGAGACTGAGGGAACAGAGGTTATTTAGCCTGGAGAAAAGAAGGCTCAGGGTGACCTCATCACTCTCTACAACTCCCTGACAAGAGGTTGTAGCCAGGTGGGTTGAGTCTTTTCTCCCAGGCAACTAGTGACAGGATGAGAGGACATAACCTCAAGGTGCACCAGGAAAGGTTTAGGTTAGATGTTAGAAAGAATTTCTTCACAGAGTGATTAGACACTGGAATGTGCTGCCCAGGGAGGTGGTGGAGTCACCAACCGTGGGGGTTTTTAAGGAGAGACTGGACATGGCACTTAGTGCCATGATCTAGTTGACATGGTGGTGTATGTCATAGGTTGGACTTGATGATCTCAGAAAACTTTTCCAACGTGATTGATTCTGTGATTCTGTGACATCATCTACAAGCCAGTCTCTGACTGTATTTTTCACACCCGTATTTGTTTGCTTTTAAATGTTATCTCCTGGTGATGAGGGGAGTGTGATTTTTCCTTTCTGATATTTCTGTATTGACAATAACTATTTTAATTTTTTTCCCATTTTAATCTCTTCATAAAGACTGCAATCCCTAGGACGTGCAAAAAAAAAAAAGGAAGCATGTATAGTTTAATACCTTTGAAATTTCTGGGGTAAAAAGCTACAGAATTTGGGTCCAGAAAATGGTAATTTAGACATGGAGCAAGAGAGAGACAGGAGTAGAAATCACTTTTGAAGGAAGGGAGAATTCAGTGGTCCATGTGTAGAGCTGTGTGTGCTCACTACTTAACTTGTGAAGAAGATCATGGACTGTGTATGAAAAGGTTTGCGAGAAGGACGTGTGATTTTAATTAAGCCAAGAAAATGTGTATTTCTTACAGCTATATGATGATGAGAGATTGCTGGCATGCTGTGCCTTCTCAGAGACCGACTTTTAAACAGTTGGTAGAAGACTTGGATCGGATTCTCAGTCTCACAACTAATGAGGTAGGTAAATTGTTTCCCTCCATAAGCTGCTGATCAGGAGAAAATGGTTCAGGAGGCAGATGGAATTTATTCAATTATGAAATCCTGCTCGAGTTCACTTCTTGTTCTGTTTGTCATTGTCCTCTGAGGTTACACGCAGCTAAACTATGTATCCTATGAACTCCTCAGTTTCTTGCCATTATGCCTTGATTTATGTAGCTAAAAAGAAACGCATCGTTAAAGTGGTTTTGTTTATTTCTCATTGCATGTTTATTTCTCATGCATTGTTTATACTCATTGCGTGGCAGTATTGAGGGACAGCACGTGACAGGTTGGGAGGCAATGTCTGTGTTTCGACATGAAAAGGGTGTGAAGGAGAGATGTAAAGTTCATGGTGTTTTTCATTTATCGACTCAGTTTGATTCCCAGCCATGATATGTAGGTCAGGAGAGGAGAAATCGTCGATGGTAGATTTCAGATAATGTGTCTGAGAGCGAATTAGGTTCACTGAAATAGCTCTCAGTGGAGGGAATGAGACCCACGGGGAATGTGCAAACAGCCATCCAATTATCCAAAGGTCCTGCCTAACACTGCTTCAGGTTGGGATATATGAATGCAAAAGGGTTTATTTGAAGAGTGTTCTTTCAGAGGTCTGAGATATTATTAGGTTTAGCAAGGAACACACTGATTAGGGTATTCACACAGGAATCTGTGCTCTTATCACTAAACCACATGCACCTTTGAGGAAAATCACAAGTGATGGGAATGTTGATTCTTTCGATGGAAACTTGAGAGAAAATGCTTGGTGTCCCAGAAATGTTCTACCAACTCCTCTTGCTTCTGAGAAATGATAGGTATAAAGGCAGGAACAAAAGGAAAAAAACAACTTAGACAGGGAAGTTGCAATGATTTGTTTTGACTGATTCAAAATAAGATTTTCAGACTTGTTATTGCTCCTTTATAAAGGGGGAAGGGTAGGAAAAAGAAGATTTGAACTGCTTTATATAGGTCCTCAACATTACAATCTAATTTTTCAGAATTGTCAGAGAAATAAAAAATGGATTATGGAGCAGCTTTAGGAAAGCCTGGATACAGCAGAGTTGACAGGAGAACCTGAGGAATGAGATGCCATTTTTTATGATCATCATTTGCCCCCAATAGATCTGGTTGAAAAAGATTCTTTGGCTTCAGTAGCAGCTATAAATTTGCCTGCATTCTGTTTGCTCTAAAAAGTGGCACATTCAGGAATGGCTCAGAGCTAGGGCAGGAACATGCACTCCCTATGGAGTCGGTGACGCAGCTCTGCGTCCTGTTACCATTTTCACCCCATCCAGTCCTGACTGCATCTTTTCTTGCCTAATTTATATATGATTTCACAAGACCAGTTGGAGGTGGGCTGGCTGCCACTACAGACTGCTGGGTGGCTTGGACTGGATATGTGTTTGCAAATTCAAGAGGGAGGTTCTGGGCTGCAATTCTAACCCTGGGAAAGGATATTGCTTTCTTTTCTGTGTGTGTTCAACGATCTTGCCTTCCCAATTCTGTCCTGCTCATAGACCTGGAATGATCTCAAAGGTAACCTGAAAAGGCCTTTAGGGTTATGTAAATCACTTCAGACTAGAATCATAGGAAAAACGGCTGGAAAAACCTTAGGAACACATCCAGTCCATCTGATCAGCCTACAGCAGGATCTACTATACGTTTGTCATTCCTGACAGATGTTTATGTAACTTGTCCTTAAAGATCTCCACTGCTGTATTTCGGCATCGCCCCTTGACAGCCTATTGCTTTGTTTTCCTAATCTTCAATCTTTCAACATCAGATATTGCTTTTGTCCCATTTACCCTGGACATAGAAAGCAAATTATTCCACTTGTCTTCACAGCGCGTTTCACGTTCCTGAAAGCTTGTCATCATTTCACTCCGTGTCTCCTGAGAACTCCAGCGTGTCCCATTTTCCTCCACAGCTTTTGAGATCTCTGATTTTGTAGAATCTGCACAGTTTTCCTGAAGTGCAGGTCCTTCATGCTTCAGTGTGACTACACTTCTGCTCATCCTCTCCACATTGGCACTTTTCCTTTCCCCCCAGAATCACACAGTTGACACAGGATCAACCTAGTTTGCCCAACAGCTCAAAGAATTGCTAGGGCAGCCAATAATATCTTCTGCATTTGTGCAAGTAATTATTTCTGCTTAAACAGTAAAATCTTCCTCTTTTTCAGGCTTAATCATCGCCTGTTGAGGTTTTTGGGGGTTTTCTTGATTTCCCCCCCCCAAAAAGACCCTATTTCCCATGTTTCCCTGAGCCACATGAGCAGAAGTCACCAAGAGTTGGCCTCATGGCTGTGACGTAATATCAACACCAAGAACCTGGTCTTGGTTCTTATGCCCCCTGATGTGACTCTGGCTGCTGACATTGGATAAGGATGTGGGAGAGGGGATAAGGATCCTAGCTTCAATTCTGAATTTGTAACTGAATTACATCAAGTCTTTTGATCTGAGGAGCCATGTCTGGTAGCCCATGAGAAAGCCTTGTTGCTTCAAATACTGGGTTACTTTCTTCTTCTGTATGTCTAGAAAGTAGCTGATTATTTCTGGCCATGATTTGCTAATCCATAAATATGTGTTAGGATTGTCCTCATGGATTTTTCCAAAATCCTGGCAGCAAGATAGGCAATAATCAATAGATCCAACCTTCCTTCTTCTGCTCCTCACTTTATTTTTCAGCATTTTAAAACTTGCATTCCACACCCTCCTTTGAAAGTGGTGACCATTTTTAAACTATAATATGGTAATAATTGAATGCCTGACTTAGAAAAATATGTTAGCCCAAGAACTAAATTACCCCAAACCTAAGCACAGCAGCATAAAATACTGACTGAGGTGGAAGACTTTGTCTCGTCAGTAGGATCATAACTTGTGGTTTAGCAAATGAAGAGATTGCATTTAAATGAATGCAGCTGCCTTTAGAAGTTGAAAGAGAAGGAACATTTCAAGGGGAAAAATAACTTTATTCTCTTGCCAAAACTGTTGTTTCTAGCAAAAGAGCCTTAACCCAAAACTTGGATTCAGCAGATGATATTTCCTTTTTTAACAACTGCTTTGGTCATGGCTACTCTAGGACACACAACACACACACACACAAATATGTAGTGTGTCAAACCCCAAATCTCATGAATTTAATTTTGTTTTCCTTTCAGTTCTTTTTTTTTTTTTTTTTTACATGTATGCCACTGCATATTTAAACACAGATTTAATATCACAGAATATAAAACAGATATTCAAAGTGACCAAAGGAATATAAAGTTGGAAGTGTCTTTCTCCAAATCACTACCATGTGCTCAAGAAAAGTGGTTCTATTTAGGATGAAGTTTCGTTTTTATCATTGTGAGTGAAAAGTCTTCTTTTGATGTGGTTGCCATGTTTATTCCCACTGACACAGCTAATGTTATTGGTTTGGTTTTTCTCTCTCTCTTTGAGCTCCTTGTTTTATGAGCTATTTAAGCAACAGGCAGTTTTGAATGCAGTTGTGCTGCAGAAGTGAGTGTCATGTTTAAACTCTGCTTTTACTGAGCAAGCCAAACATGAGCTGTGGTGACGTTATTGTCACTTTTACTCACTGTCTAAAAATGCACTTTATTTCCTTTGTCATAGGAGTATCTGGACCTCAGTGGACCTCTGGAACAGTATTCACCTAGTTACCCTGACACGAGGAGTTCGTGTTCTTCAGGGGATGACTCTGTTTTTTCTCCCGATCCAATGCCTTATGAACCTTGTCTTCCCAAGTACCAACACATGAATGGGAGTGTTAAAACATGAGAAGAAATCATACAGAGGAATAAAGAAACAAAAACATCAAGCTACCTACCGTATACAAAGCAAACTCTTTTCTCCAGGACCTTAATGTTTCTGCTTGTACATATGAAATATGGATAAAAAAGGAAAAAACCCAACTTGGAGGAAAGCAGTCAGAACCTACATAAGGAATCTCATAATTTGCAACTTTTCGATGTTCCCAACAAAGAAGAATGTTTCTGAGCTGTGTCTAGATACCCATTGCTATCAATTTTCTGGCTTCCTGTAAGCTACAACAGACTTTGTTTGTACAATGGACCAGTTGGACTTGAGGCAAACTCTGGGTCTGCCTTTCTTGTTTATTTTGTAATATTTGGAGAAAATATATGTTGGCACACACTTACAGAGCACAAATGCAGTATATAGGTGCTGGATGTATGTAAATATATTCAAAATATGTATAAATAT